CATATATATCTCGTACATTTATGCGTTTGTGTGTATATGTATGCATATATGCGTGTATGTATGCGGGTGCCCACATATGTATGTGTGTGTCCGTGTATAAATAATACGCGTCCGTATTTAATGTATGTATGCGTGCATAGGTGTATGTACGCTTGTGTTGATGTTTGTATGCGTGTGGTTGCGTGTGCACGTGTATGGGGGCGTATGTACGTGTATGTACGCGTGTGTGCGTTTGCTTGTGTGTGCTCGCGTGCTTATGTGCGTGTGTGCCTGTAAGGTGCGTGTGGGCGTAGAGACGTGGTGGTGTGCGGTTGCAGCTTCTCATCTCAGTGTCCTTTTTATTTCAACGTCGAAACTTGATTCTTCGCTCTTATAGTGGCCCGAATCATGAACGATTCCGACTTGAAAGACACTGAAGCCATCAAGGTACAGCGCATGCACGAGTTACGCGATGAAATTGTGGCAGCTCTCTATGGTTGTGGGCCACATGCGAATGAGCGTGAGCGGCAGAAGAAGGCTCGAGAACTACGCACCAATATTATCAGTCCTCACAATGATCTACACAGGTGGGTGGGTGTAATACGAGTGGATCTACGGCGATATAGCCTAGGATGATGTGATGGTTCCGTAGCGAGATTGTATGAACCTAACTGGGTGGGTGTGGAGCTGATAATTTGCACTTCCGGTCCAGCATCATATGCCATACAAATGATTTTTATTTATTTGACTTTGTTGCGAGCTGGAACTGAAAGTTTTTGTGTCTGTGATGGGTGTATACACACGCGCATATGAAAGAACGCAGGACATGCTCAGTGACGTCCGCGCCATTCGAATGAACCGCGCATATACCAAGTATTTAGATACATACCTATTATCAATCATACATCGACATAAAATGATGTCTTTGTACTATAAGATACTAGGCACGTAGCGCGTACATATCAGCTCACATATCTACTGTGTGGCAATCCTTTCTGTACTCTGCTCGGTGCATTTCTCAGGAGGCTGTACAATGGCAATATCGCTCCGGTGCAGCTAGTGCGGATGTCTCCGGATGAACTCAACCCAGCGGTTGGGAATACGCGGAAACAACTCGAGACAGACAGCCTTAGGCAGAATACCTTACTGCCCGTATGTATCATATGATCCACTTTTGCCTGTAGTCGTGACATCGTAGCAGCTGGGAAGTACACACTACCCTGTAGTTGTGGTTCTGTAGAGGATAGTATGTGCCCAGGTTTAATGTGCACTATTGTCATCAATGTGTACGCCTGCTACAGAGTTACGTGATAAATGCAATGGTTGCAGTACAGTACTTCGAAATTTTTCGCTGACCGGCATGAATGAAGCTTAAGGCAATCGCTTGCAAAGTATCAATTCACCTACTGAGAGCTCATAATATTTTGTTCACATGTGGTCGATCCAACTTCATTTATATTAATAGTGATAACTGACATCGAGTATAACTACTAGTAAGCGATCGTATTTAAGTTAGCGTAAGCGTATGAGCCAATATTAGTCAGTCCGGCCAGCTAGGGTGCGGTGTACTTTCTGGATGGCCTTCGCAGCCGTCGACGGGGTGGCGATCGATATATACTTATAAACTATGCATTGGTCTATACTCTCAGTGCACAAAGTTAGAAGCGAAACCAGTTTTTCAATTCTAGGCATTTATACTAGTTGGAGATGTTTCTAACAACAGATGCCGTATACGATTAAACTGAGTTGTATACGACGACAAGCAGTTTGTCCTCTCCTTGAGCCTATATACTGACGCTTCTTCAACCTTCGCTTCACTCATACGGGTATCAACTGCAGGAACACGGAGTAGTATATTCCAAGTCGCACAAGGGTGAACGGATAGTTGGGTAAGCTCATACTATTTGCTTTTGACAAATAGCCATTGGACGCGAAGGTGTCTCTTTTGTATCTAAGCTGTCCTCAGTATTCATGTGCAAGTCTACTATGCAGCTGTGATGGTGTGTATTCTGGTACATCTGGGTTGAATGACACTTTCGTGCTCTCATAGTAGCATATTATCCCGTGAGCCTATCCCTGTCCATATAAAACCCACAGCCATATTAAAGGCTGAACTGTTTGCTTGAGCAGTCATTTTACAGTTGCGGGCAGGGAAAAACGGGTACATATCGCAATTTGGTAACATGTGCGTCTCATGAAGCACATGCAATGATTTCCTCTCAGTGAACACCCGTCGTGCTGTGGTTGGGATTAACACGGGCGCGATGTTGCAGTAGGTGGGTATTGATTCATCATCTGTCCAATTTTATGCATATTCTGACCCGGAGTGTAACCGAAGTAGCACTGTCTGTGACGATTCCACGGGTGCAGTCAAACTGATAATTTTATTTTGTCCAGTTCATACAAGACACAGAGAGGATAGACACAGTTTACACTGTTCAATGGCTTCATTGTACTTCTCTAGTTATTTGATACGTGTTCCGCAAAACGAGTCAGTGGATACGCACTTGGCTATATAAACATTCTTCCAATGCGCTGACAGCTCACTGTGATAGGGCTGAACAAAGTTGATTGTCACATACAAAGCATGTAAACATTTGCATATGACACAAGTCTAATACTGACATTGATACTATGCTCTCTCTACCATGCTCTCTCGCTGTGTGCCTTGTGATTCTTGCGCTCAGGCCACCCGAACCAGATAACGTAGTGGACGACAGTGTGCTGGGACTGCACAATCTCACACCCTCGAACCTGGCGTCTCCCAATCCTACGGCATCAGATACCGATAAAACCACAATGCATCCACACAATACCTTTGCGGATAAGTCTATAAGGCAAGATAGTGTTCAGAGTGGGGTTGTGGTAAGAAATGGTAGAGATGCCAACAACACAAGCGAAACCAATAGTGGCACACAACGCTGTGAACCAAGTTGGGGTATCGGGAATGTAAGATATTATGACAACAGTTGTACCAGTGGCAACCACAGGAGTCACCTGCATCATGACAGCGACAACCACGACGACGGGTACAAGAAGAGTTGTAGAAATGGAAAAACACAACAACAGGATATGGGGAAAGACGATAACAATAAACACGAGAGAAAGAACATCAAGGATACCGGGCAACATACTATTCCGGATGCTCCGGATGATCATGATGGTGTTCGGGACCACTCTGTCGGCGAAGGCGATGGTGAGAATGATCCTGCAGGTGTGGACAAAGATGTACACCAGAATGAAGTTAGAGAATCAGAGCTGGCTACGCGACTGGATTCTAATATTGGTACTGAATTGTGTCTGAATTTGGATCTGGATAGCACGCCAAACCAGATATCAATACAGGTGAGCACAATTTAAATTTTTGCACTGACGCGTGGATCGTCGTTTGCGAAGCATGCTACGGTTATGTGGCCATTGAAAGTCATCCCATTGTCTGTCAGGCCTTCAAACATGCTTGCGCAAGTGTATTATAGATTCACAAGCAACACCTGAGTCGCGAATACTTCCATTATCCCGCATGGCAGGCTTACTTTGTGCATATTCTGACATCTTACCCTCACAGCAACACGTGCAATCATACGCCGAGGAACCTGAGGCTAGCAGAGCTATAATCCTCGCAGTGGAACCGACGGAGATGCGAATGCAGTATTCGGTAGCGGGCATCTCTACAACTCACCAGTCACGTATTACCCCGTTAAGTGCACAGTCAACCGTAGATCCAATCAGTACTGACAAGGATAAGGATACGAACACTTTAGTGCATCCCTCTCGCAGGGCTTTCGTTGGCACACAGCCCGTGTTCTCTTCAGTCAATGCAGGCAATGACTCAAACAACGCACGTGGGGATCCGCACTCGAGTCGACGAGCAAGAAAGAATGGCAGAGGTTGGACTCCCACTGGGGGAAATGCGGGCTACGTGGTTAGCGGGTATGGTCTGTTTGGTATTGTACGATATTTCTTCTTGTTGGTGAATATAAATATATTTGCGTGTGATGTACTGGTACGCGCATTTCCAAGCGATACCCACTGTATTTTATCTGGATAGATTTGATGTAGTTTAAGTCTCACTTTGGAGAGGTTTTAGTCCACGACGTAACTTGCAGGGATCTGCATCCCTGTGTTACAAATCAGACTCATATTCTGCGCCTGAACTCCCCTAATATTGATTCAAAATTCCTGTATTGCATACTACCTAGTTGTCATGAACGTCACTATCACTACCTAAGAGGTCACGTTCAAAGACTCAGGTGACGATGAAAGGCTCCGGGGAATGATAAGCACGTATGATATATCACAGTAGCAATCAGGGCAAGAATATAAAGAACCTCTCACCTGCAATTAAAATGAGTATCACACACCATCTTAAAATAACCAGTCTTAATTGAACACCATGGCTTACTGCAGGCACTCTGACCGGAATCGATCGCCACCATTTTGTGCCGAAAGCACCCCACAAGCTATACCAAATCACCAGAAATTAAATATATCCACAAAGGGGGTTGAACCCCCAACACCACCCCCAGGTATTGTTGGCCATAATCAATATCCACAGTCTAATCCTGACCGCACACCAGAAGCGATGTCCACACAACATGGACCAAACACTCTGGCGATAGATGTAAGGCCTCCGCCACCTGGCAAGTCCGTGGTTAAGATAAATTCACCGGTTTTCGTCACGCCTGGTGCATATCGACCTGCGGTAAGAAAGACCCCCCTGTCGGGTACAAAATGGCACCCTGTTGGAGGCTCCTTCGTAGACCATCCGACACCCACCACCTCTCGGCCTGAGAGAAGCAACGCCTCGATGTCGCGAGAAAGGGAGGACTCTCACAAAGGCACACATACTAAAAGGCCATCCCCACATCCTGGGCGTCAACAGCCGAGGTCAGACGACGGTGATTTGACCTTGCTCAGTGGCACAATGTCCACCCCAAGTCCCTGTGTGCGGCAAGCAAGGCAAACACCTGCGGCCAGAACTGCTGATGTTATCGATAGGACTACTAACAGCAAAAGAAGCGAAGCACATGATCTCGAGTATACCGGTGATAAAGATAGAACAGAGCGCCACGGCAGAACTGGCCCACAAGGCGCCACGGCTAGTCATCAATCAAATTCAAACGAGAAGTACGATGCCAGTAAGCCTCCTGGTATGTCCGTGCACGCCGGCACTCAAGATCAGCAGTGGACTGGTGAGTGTGGAAAGGTCCATGACAAGCTGGCAACCAGTAAGGAAGCCGAGATGACGGAACACACCACATGTAGCACTGAAAAGGCGAGTTCACCACCACGAAGCAAGCTTGGAACCGGCCGAGAACGACAACGAACACCTCCCCATGGTGTCACAGCACAACAGCGTCCCGCTTATTTCGGTATGTAATCCCGCGTATGTATCCCGATACCTCGTATGTAGATCAATGCACCGAGTTTTGAATATTAGAATATACCACTTTTGCGTCCATCACAGACGGCTGCAGAGTGCAGACACATTGTTTCGTCGTCTGGAACTAAAAATATACATCTTCTGTGTGAAACAATTGTCTGTCCTAGATCCTGCACCAGTCCACTCAAGCCTGGGAGCCACGGTTGAAGCGTTCAGTATCACTTTGGTGCCGCCGGGGCGCAGCGAGCAGACTTGGCAGGTGAACCGCACACAGCTTCATCCCGCGGTATGGCTAGAATGTTCTATCAAATTCCGTCTCGAGTGTCACGTAGTGACCTCTTTTTGAGTGGGTTTTTGGCAGGAGCTGGTGCATATTGATGTGCTCGTGCAATACATCCCGGCGATGATGCCAGATATGAAGCTATTCACACGCCCACTTGCAACACCGGCAGAGTCACGGGAAGGGCAGATCGATTACGCCGCTCGAGGTGTTCTTAAGGCATAGGGTGCACAACCGGGAAGGCAAACTGTTTCAGAAACTACAGTCCCATTACATCACGCAACCAGAGGTACTTGCTGAGATTCCGTGCGTGCTTCTTTGCTATTATTGTAGCATTGCAACTGCAGGAGGTAGCTATGTGTAATATATTTTATCGGCTTGGCCCAAATCTACAACAACAACTCCATTCATTACACATTGATCCGTGTTTTCTTTTGGCGTCTCCCTTCGATTGCAGCTATACGAGGTGTTCATGCTGACACCGATACTCCACTCCGAGAGCAAGTTTCAAAACATGAATGAGTTTGTTCGCACTTCGAGCCAGGATTTCTACTTTTATTCGTCCCCGGTCAAAAGTATGTATGGCATTCTACGGCGCACGAAGGGCCTGTGAGTGTTCGTAACGTGCAATTGGTGTAATGGCTTGCGAAAATGCTGCGTAAGTTATAGTACGCATGATATAGGACTAAACTGATTTCGTTGCGTCTACCAGGGATATATCTAATCTATTTGAATGGGGATTCGAGCGCACCAGGACACATTCGTGATCTATTAACGCAAGATGAGCTGAAACAATTACCCAAAATATTGTTCCTCGTTTCAGGTATGAAATGCTGTATTTTTAGCCTGTATGTTTGTATATACAAGAGACGGAGTAAAACAATAGGTTGCCATGTGAGCTATACAAAGTCAAGCAATATTCTAGGACCGGTAGGCTGTGTTTGTTAGAGAGTACTAGAGGTCACGGAGGTTCTAAGTTTTCCCAGACCAACAATTTGTCTAGTATCGACGTTGCTGTAATGTCCTTATGTGCATCTATTGCATTTTTTACGGGCACGGGAATGACTGTTCGGTACGAGAGTGAGTTGTTCCTTCTATCCAGGATATTGGACTATTTCAATTTTTCCTACTAACAAAGATCTCCCTTCGCAGAGCTGCTGACTGAGAGTCACTATGTGACAGGGAACGATGGCGGTAAGGTACGTGCATACCCGAATGATGAAGCACACGAGCGCGATGCGAAAAGACCTCGTATTGAATCTGCCACTGATAGACAGCCTCATACACAGCAGCCGCAATCAGAGCCAGTGCCAGATGCACGGGTAAAGTCCCAACCCCCACCACTATCCCAACCACAGATACCACCACATGCACAGGCGCCAACACAAGCAGAGGCACAGGAACAGACGCAGTCCCTACCTCGTATACCAACACAGACACAGACACAGGTACATGCACATTCAGCCACACAGGTACAGCCACAGGCACAACCACAGACACAACCACAGGCTCCACCACAGGCACAGGCTCACTCGCAGCTACAACCAGAGTGGCGATCACAGCCTTGGTCGCAGCCGCAGTCACAGTGGCAGACACAACAACCATACGTATATCCAGGGCCATACATACAACCATATGCACAGGCGCAACCACAGGTCTATCCACAACCACAACCACAACCACAACTACGACCACAACAGCAACCGCAGCCGAATCCCCTACCACGGCCAGAGCCACAATGGCAGCCAAACCCTACGTCGCAACTGCAGAATCCAAACGGATTAGGCAGATCAAAGTATGAGGTCGAGTCCCCCGTAACGGTCACGGCTTCCCCGATCCCGGCACACTATGTTACGGGCGGATTTGCACAGGGAAACAGTTTAACTACCAAGACTTCCAAAACAAGCACCACAACCAGCTCATCGCGAGAGATGACCTTGGCCATGGGTGGGCGTACGTTGATGCAACACATGACCGGGGACGACATAGCCGACAACTTCCAACTGACGAGTGGGATGCGGCAGTTGTTGGGCCTGGAGCCCCACACTGAACCACAACCACCACCCCCACCCCAGCCAACACCACAGTCTATATCGCATGCACCAGTATACTTCCCAGCTCAAATTCAACAGCAATCGCACACACCAACAGCCTACCCCCCTGGCACATCAAGATATATGGCATCTGTGCAATCACTTCCACATGACCTGCAGTATGGCAAGTATCCACAACAAGCTGTTCCACCTGCCGATGCTTCTACCAACCCGGCCCCAAGTGAGCCGGTGTATGGCCCATTTTCCAATGTGGGAATACAAGCTCAGCCACAGCCACTACCAGCAACCCAGCAACAGCCACAATACCCACCTACACACTCGGTACCAGTGAACGAGGCCGTTTGATTATACACGAGTGGAAATTACAGGTAGAGATTGTACGCACAAGCCATATGGATGTACGAGACATAGCCAAACACCACCACCCTCCTCAGCGATACTGAGCTACACCGAGTAAGGCACAAATATCATGGGTGCCAAAGTAAATGGTTATTGCAATACAGCTGGAACTGTTGTGGATTGGCGGTAGGAGGGAATGCTCAGCAAAGCAGCTTGCGCGCAATGATGCACTATCAATGCAGATGGTAAGCAAAAAGCAAAGCCAATGCATATCCAGGAGCTTTATTAAGTCTCACGCATTGCGTACGCTTGGCCACTCCGCAGAACTAATGAGGCGACTTGCACCCCGGTAGTGTGCTATTGCGTATTTTGGGGCAGTCAGCTCATCAATATACTGATCTTATTATCCGAACTTCTCATCGTCAAAAGCAATCGATAGTTCCCTAGATATTTTAATAGTATTCGTATATTTGTGAATACGTTGGCCTGGTGCACTTATTATAGTGCACAGAAAAGATAACACGTTTACACTGATCCTGCATGTGTGCGAATTCTCCACTCACCATCACACTGGCGCCAATTACACGCAGTATTTAATCAAAACTCAACAAGCTATTAAACTTCGACAGCGACTCATCACCACTACACTCATATCTAGAACGTTATACAACGCCACCTGAGACAGTATGATATTCTGCTTAAGGTTTTAATAGACATATACACATTAATGTATTAATATTAATATTAATATTACAATTACTATTAATATATATATACATATAACCATATAAACAAACACACACACACACTTATATAAATAAGTTTACATATACGTGCGCACATTTTTTTTACATAGGGATAAAATCATAAACATACACAAGCACAAACGCACACACACACACACACGTGCACACACACCCACACACACACACACACACACACAC